TTAAACAAGTACATGGTAAGGATATGTCTCTCCAAAAACAACTGGCTGAGCTCATCCAAGAACAGCAGCACCTAGGCTCTGTAGCCAAAGCAAGGTACTGTGCGACATATACTCTGCAGTCTTCCCTTCCTGCAGTTATCCTGGAAGCTCAATTTGCAATTTGGAATGCATAGACACTATTGCAAATGATTATATTAATGATTGATTAGCAATGTTATTAGCAGTAAGTGCTGCATGCTGTGTTAGTGCAAGGAACATGCATGCTCATTCATGTATTTTAAAGCGAATTTAATCAGCCATAACATAACCTTCTCCTTCTTTCTCCCACTGATCTCGATTTCATAAGTATCACTTTTGGCTTAATCCCAAAGATGCTAATGATTCTAGAATGTTCTGCTCTGTGGAAGTACCTTTTTACACCTACTGGCAGGACGAGAAACTTTATCATGTTTTGGTAGCAGACATTAAAAATACAACTGTGAACACTGAAGTGACTATTAAGGTTAAGAACGGAACACTTTAAAGTTTGCTACTTGATTAGATACTGTTAGTGAAGAGGCTATTCAGTACTTCATTGTTTTGTCTGCAGTTTAATAACTGCCGTTTTTCTTGCAGCTAATAATTAATTTTAAAACTGCTAAAGTTGTTCATCAGCAGCAGAAAGTATTTTTCACTTTAGAGGCTGATTGTAAATATGTCTTAGTTTGATTGTTGTCCAGAGGGTGGCAGAATTTCACTGTTTTCAAAGAGAATTGAATGCAAATGAACACACCTTTCCAAGCTCAGCAATCATTCTGTAATATAAAATCTTTCTAGTGCAAGATAAGCTCTGGCTCATTATTATAAACAAACACCTATTAATGTTGATGAAGGAAATTAAATGTCATGATTCATAAGTCATAAACATGTATATACTTGTATGCCATGAGGCTCTGTAGCTTAAATGCTAAAAGTCCCCCGTGCAATGTACAAGTTAAATATAGGAATGAGTGTAAGTACAGCTTCAAGGTGATTTCTCTGATTTCTCTGGGTTTTTTTTCTTTTTTTACTGGCAAAACATTAGCAGG